GGGGATGAGTCTCTCCAGCGCCCCAGATGGCTCCGGGGGGAGCCTAAGCTGACACAGCCACCAGGGACCCTGGGTGCTTTGGAAACCTGGTGACTCCCTCTGGGATGTGTCACTTCACGTCTACTCTCTGGGTGTCTGGCGCGTGTGCACAAAAGGCCCAGTCCCTGCCTTTACAAAGCTTGGACTGCCACAAAGAGACAGAGCTATAGAACACATCCGCACAAATGACCACCACCACCTATGCAAGGATGACACGAGTCGGGCACCCGCCTCCCTGCCCTGGCCCACCCAGCCATGTCCAGTGGGCAGCATGGGGACACAGACGGAACCCACAAACCAGTGAAGCCCCGATGGAAGGCAGCTGGATTCACCAGAGCCAAGATGACACGGGATGAACGAAGGGCATTATTCATACTCTGAAAGGGTTCTTTGCCAACGCAGCCCCGCAGCCTGTAGTTTAAATGATGCAATTCACCAAAATTCCACTTTCTCACGACCTTTAGGAACCCATCACACCACCAAGCAGAGCTGGACTCAATACATCAAATCCGTGACACGCGGGTGCCGGGGAGAACAGGGGAACTCAAGGCTGTGGGACTCGGCTGCTGTGCCAGCTGAGCAGGGAGGCTGGGGAAGGCTCAGGAGGGAGGGGACGCAGGGCTTCAGCTGCAGGATGCCAGAGCAGGAAAACATTGGAACAAGAGCCAGCAGTCCCTGGGGAAGCTCGCTAGTGAAAGTGGTGACAGAGGAAATAAGTCAGGTGATGGGGTTATTAAACAAATGAGAGTACACAGACATGTTTTGAGACTCCGGATTATTGGTTCTGATTTCTGGGGTGAACTAAGAAGCAGAGGTCAGCCCTGCAAGAAGGTGACTGAGGCAGAATTCCTCACAGCCTGGCCAGGTGAAAGGCCAGGGCCACTGCTGGGCAGAGGGGGGGCTCAGAGCACTGCCTCCACTTAAGAACTTAGCTAAGTGAGCCCAGGCATGGTGGTGCACACCTACAATCCCAGCCCTCTGGGAGGCTGAGGCAGGAGGATCCTAAATTTGAGCCCAGCTTGGAACTAAGCATCCTAGCATGACTCTGTCTTGAAATAAGAATTAAAAGGGTGTAGCTCAATGCAAAGGTCCTGGGTTCAACCCCCAGTACTGGAAAAATAAAAAAATAAATAAAGAACTTGGCCAGGTGAGGTGGTCTAAGTTCACTGACCTAAGTGAAACTTCCAAAGCTACCAGAGCTGGAGCGGAGCAGTGCTCCCCGGGACATGATCCGAGGAAGGTGGCAGCGGGGCTCCCAGATGAGCGGGTCCAGGAGTCACCAGGGACTTGTGCTGAGTGGATGCACCGTCTGCCTGGGCAGACTCCTCCCCGCCATGCCTTGACCTGCTCATCTGCAGATGGGGTGACAGCAGGGCTGCCCATCCCTAAATATTACTGCCTCCCTCCTTCCAACTGTCCTCAGACTTCTGCCTCGGGAACAGGGTGAAAAGAATGGCGCTGTGGAAGGTGCTGTCATTCATGAAGGAGCAAAGGACACTGTTTCGTGGCTCCTGGATTGTCACTGGGCCGAGGAACAGGCAGGACACCCACACGTCACTCCCAGTATCTGGTGCATTCCCCATGCACTGAGGCTGGAAGCCATCCAAGGCTTGCCTAGAAGGTTCCCCGAACATGACTGCCTCCTCCACGGAAAAATTAAGACAAGATTCCCAAATCACACTTTTAAAAGTTAAAAATAAAGAGGCTGCTGCTGCAGCAACAGTCTGCACCCTACTTGCCTCTGCAGTTGAAGTACACTGGGAGAGAGAGAGAGCAGAATGCTTTTTAGTTTGTAACCCAAAGAGCCGAGCTGAGCGGCATTCCAAGATGCCGATTCCCCAGGGCAGGATGGTTCCTCACAGAGGAGAGAGATAAGACATGGAGGCTGTCGGGGGAGATGGTAGGGCTCGGCAGCCTGGCTGAGCAGGAGAACAACTTCCGGATCAGCCCAACATCAGGATGAAGTGTTTGGGGTGGTCACTGTACTGGAACAAAGCAGGAACTTATCTGCTGGAAGCAGTGAGAGCCAGAGAGAGAGAGAGAGAGAGAGAGAGAGAGAGAGTGTGTGTGTATGAGACTGCATGCTCATCCCTTCTGCATGCTCATCCCTTTTTTTTTTTTATTTTGAGACAGAATCTCTCTAAGGTGCCCAAGCTGTCCTGAAATTTGAGATCCTCCAGCCTCAGACCCTAAGTAGCTGGGATTACAGGAGTACACCACCACACCTGGTAGCCATGCTTTCTCTGGTTAGCAGTGTGGCCTCAGCTTTGGAGGTGCCTTCTGGTCCTAAGGGCTCAGCACAGTGGGACTAGGAAGGGAAAAGTGGGGGAACTGGGGTGGGGCCAGACTGGAGCCAAACATCCTCATTCCATCCACTCTGCTTTGCTATCAGCAGCTGCTTCCTTCCTGTCCTGCTGGGATGCCTCGGACCTAAGCAGGACACACCCTCAGTGCCCCAGGCCAGGGCGGCAGGGACAGTCCCCTCAGCTCAGCAGCTGTGGTGCTGGTGCTGGACTTTGATTGAGTCTTTGAGTTCCTCTGTCCGGATGAGTGAGGCCCAGGCCACACCCGCACTGGGGAAGCTCCAAGGGGCCAGGAGCCAGATCCAGAGGAAAGCCCAGCACTGGCTCCTGCCCTGCTGCACAGCTGGGAGTGTCTGCTCCTCCACTGCCTGTCTCCACCAACACAGAGCTCTGCTCAGGGATGACTCGCCTGGGTTTCTACCCCTGGAGCCACATCAAGTTGGAAGGATGTTAGAAGGAGCATTTCTGCCATCCACCCACCTTCTAAAGCACACACAGCTCCCAAGCCCTCCCCATCCCCAGGCTCGTTCCTGCCATGGGCATCCAGCACTCCCTGCACGGACCCCGGGCCCAACTCGAAGGGCTCATGTCCAAGTCTCCACCTGGCTCAAGTAGGCACTGTGCTGTCTCGCTAAGACTCACAACAGTCCTGAGAAAGCATTATGGGTACAAGAGTCATTCTGGAGGTGAAGACACCAAAGCTCCCGTTTGTGTCACCTGCCCAAGGGCCAGCACATGGCACCACTGGGCTCTGATGCCACTACTCGGACCCAGAGGAGGCTCTGGCCTGTGTCCCAAGCCCAGTCTGCCTCGGCATGTTGCACTCGGCCTTGGCTGCCCACACCCCATCACACACTGCTAACAGGGACCCTTGTGTCCCGGGGCCACCCCCATGCCACTCGTCTCAGTCACTCTTGGAAGGCAGCCTGCGGGAGGTCCTTTTGTCTCCCCTGTGAGGTGAGGGGACTCCCTGCCCTTCTCTCGGCTTCTCCACCACCCCAGGAAGAAGCCCTCCGTCCCCAGCATGGCTCTAGGGAGAGGCAAGGACACCCCAGAAGTCTAGCTCCTCCTCCTCTGCCCCTCTAACCCAACACTGCCACACCCATCCCCTGCTCCAATCCCTCCACTCCTCTGCTCCTCCGCACCCCTCTCCTTCTCTCCTTTTGGAAACAGAGTCCTGCTTTGTAGCACAAGCTGGCCTTGAACTCACTTGATCCTCCTGCCTCAGCCTCCCAATTCTATGATTACAGGCACCCCCACCCCCACCCCACCTTTTCTCTGGGACAATCTTTCATTTCCTACTCATTGCCCCTTTAAAAACTGTACTTGGTGGGCCGGGGATAGCCTTGCAAGCACAAGTTCCTGAGTTCGATCCCTAAGACCAAAACAAAACAAAACTCTACTTGGTACACTCAAGCTTAACCTCTCCAGAAACTTTCCTGACACCCCGGCCTTAAACAAGCAGACAGCTCCCCTCCTTCATCTTCCCATCCTTGGGAAAACATTCCCACATTCCCACACCCCTACCTGCCCCACCTTCTCTAAAATCCTCCTACACCGAAAGTGTGGCTGGTTCTGTATCCCCTTGCCCCACCGCCAGCCAGGCCATAAACCCTTCACAAGCTACAACTAGCCAGACGCATTTCCTAAGTCCTAAAGAAACACGTGCTGGGCATTTGGAAAACTAGTTTTCCAGAGAAGACAGCAACGGTTAATAAAAAAGGAAAAGAACCAGCTATTAAACCACCACTCTTGTGGGGCTTTTAATGCTTCCTGGGATCTTCATTACACACCTCAAAGTCACAGCTACAAAAAAGGTCACAGATTGGATCAAGTTTCTTTAAAACAGTTTGCCTTAAAGTTGGGAAGGAGGCAGCTAAGAAGGAATGCTACAGAATGGGCTTTGTGGAGGGAATCATGGAAAAACCATTCAGAACATGGAAAGATGAGGGGCTCCCAAGAGATGCACCACCCATCCTGTCCTCTGCCCCTCCCTGCCTGGCCGGGCAGACACCCTGCCCCTGCAGCTCCCATCCCAAAGCCCAGGCCCATCTGGTGTCCTGTGGCAAAGCACTCAGAGGTAAAGAAGAGGCTCCCTGGCTGCTTCTGGTCCACCATGGTTTTCCTTAATTTGAAGGGGTTCGCTGTGAGCAAAAGACAAGGCTGAACCGGAACCTTCTGAGTCACAGGTCATTAGGCGGGACCTACTGACTGGGCTGTCCTCAGCTGGCCACACTGAAGACATGGGAATCAGCTGCAGTAATTAAAAATCAGAAGGCTTCTAACTAAAAGTATAGGTTCTGAGTGCTTTTGAAAAACTGGGCAATGTGGTATCGGCCTGCGATCCCATGACACTGGCCGGCCAGAGCTCAGCAGCAACTGTCCCGGCCGGGAGCACACAGTTCTGGGCGGGGCCCAGGGTGGCCGACTTGGGACTTACATCACGAGGTCACTGCCCCTGAACCCGAGCCTCCTGAGCGGCTCAGGGAGAGAAAGGACTATTACAACTAGATCAGGATCCTCCAAAAGCAAGGCAATGGGGGACCTTGGTACAGGGGTAACACAGCCCTACCCAGGGACATCCTCCCACAAGGCCTGAGGCGGGGTCACCAGCCACCAGAACCAGCAACCTCAAGGGGTCCCTCAGAGCCCACTGACCTTCCAAGTTAGCCCAGGGCTGCTCCCGGCTTGGCCTCCTTTGTCGTTCTTTGACCAGTCCCAAATCTTGGCTCCTGCCAGGCCCCATTTTGAGCCCAAACTTTCCTGTTCCGAGGACAGAAATGGAAATGGTCGCCTGCAGCCCAACTCAGGGAGGGCGAGAACCGGAAGGAACTGTGGCCAGTGGGTGGGGAAATCGAGGCTTTCTCTGTGGACTGTTTTCACTTGTTCTGGCTTCCCTGAGTGATCCGGCGCCATCAGCTGTGCTCTGCTTACAGCACAGGAGGGAGGTCAAAGTCTTGGACCCCAATTTGGAATAACATCATGTAGGAAGAAAAGTGAACAGTAAAAAAGGTGCAGGGCCAGGGCTGCAGGTAGCAGCGGAGCGCCTGCCTAGCACACTCCCACCCTAGGTTTGAGCCCAACACTACAAAAAACAATAAATAAGATAAAGCTAGAAACCAACTTTTGAATTTAGCCTACAGTCCTCCCCCTCCAGAGTGTCACTCCACGGCAGGGGTACTTAGCTAAAGCACTGGTTCTGGAGTCAGAAGATGGGAACTAAAATGCTGCCAAAGTAGCTTTGTGACCTTGGGTAAGTTCCAGCCTCAGGGAGCCTTGATTTCCTGTTCTGTAAGAGGACACTGAAAGCACCAACCTCAGAGGTCTGATGGGGGGGACAAGTGACACGGATAGCACCAGCAGGCGCCATGCACACTGCCTGGCACCCAGCTGGTATCTGCAGGCGCAGGTCACCATGACCACAGTGTGCATTCTTACCCAAGTGGCCTGCGCCGGACGAGGAGGGCTCCAGCCAGGATTCACTCTCACAGAGGGATTAGGGGTGAATCTGAGCATGTAGCTGGGATGGGGCCATCTGGGGATGCCTGTCCTTCCAGGGCTCGGTCCCGCTGCTTCCTCTGAGGAGCACAGCTTCCTCCCTGGGCCACTATGCTGTATCTGAGGCACCCTGGGGAGGGCACTGCAACCAGAAGCCACCAGAGGCTCTGCCAGGAGCCAGCCAAGCCCTCCCATGTCCCTTCCCCAACCTGCAGGCCAGGAAGCAGATGGTTCTGGCTCGAGCAGTGGCTCCTAGCCCATGTGAACTCAGCCCTCCCCCGGGCTCTGGGGGAAGCAGGGCAGCAGGCACCAGCCTGTCCCCAGCTGCCACCACAGCCATCGAGACGTGGCAGCTTTTTGCATGCAGAGGGATAGATGGCATTTCGTGGCAGGGGGTCCGAGGCAACAGACAGGATCCCCTCGTGAAGACATGGAGGGCGGAGCAAGCAAGAGGCTTCGTGTCTCTGTTACGAGGCTCCAACCCAGCAGGCTGGGTGCTTGCTCATTTTAATTGGGGCCACCAACGGTCTGGCGACACCTGGCAATCTGCCTCAATGAGGCCCTAAAACAGCCAGGGGAGGGACTCCAGTGGAGCCCAATGCCCAGGCTCCATGGGAGGCTGTGGAAATCTAATTGCTGCCTGGCCTCCAGCTGCCAGGCTGCCCCGGCTTCCCTGCAGGACAGCTGCCACCGCTGGGCCAGAGGGAGGCAGAAAGGATTCACCTCTTGGCCTGCGTTCAGGACACTGCAGAGATGCAGCCCAGGCTCCGGCCGGGACAAGGACATCTGTGACTGGCCGAGCACAGACCATAGGATCCCACTGACCCCCTCATCCCTCCAACACGGACTTGTAGAAGCCATCTTGACCCCATTCTATAGACGAACGGGCTGAGACTTGGACACTCAGCTGGGACGGCAGCCTGGGATTTGTCTGCAGAACCCACTCACCCCACCATGCCACCAGCCAGGGGACCACAAATGACTGCAGCCATGCAAGTCCCGAGGGTAGCCTTGGGAGGGACAGACACACAGACTGAGTGAGGACACAGCAAGATGGTGGTCTGAGAGCCCAGTGGAAAGGCCTTAGGAGACAGCAACCTTGCTACACCTTCCTCTTGGATTTCCAGCCTTAGAACTGGGAGAAAACACGTCTGTTGGTGAAGCCACCCAGCCCATGGCATTTTGTCAGCGCTGCCATGACAAGGAGCACATGGAAACAGAGCCAGGGGAAGGCATCGGCGACCACCAGGTCACAATAAAGGTTCTGGATGGCTCCTGTCCTTGTCACTGCCAACTCCACTGACTGCCTCTGTCCATTGTGCCAACCCCTTAGAACCTCTAGGGTTTACTTGAGGGTGGCAGTGTCCAGGACAACAAGTTTCACTGGGACACGTGGGATTCAAACCACTGGTTTTGGAGAAGAGGCAGGAGAGGACACTGCCCATCTCTGACAACCCCCTTCTGAGGCAGCTCCCAGGCCTGTGAGGCCCCAGGAACCCAACATGGCTACTGAAACCACAAGTTGCACAGGCAGCCTGTGGGCACTGAGCTGGGGGATACAAAGCTGAACAGAACCAAGACCCAGAGCCGATCAGAGGGTTGGAAGTGCAACCACCACAGGCAGCAGCTGGTGACCCCGGAAGCCTTCTCAAGGCACCAGAGCAGAAGAGGGAGAGTGCTTAGCTCTGTCCAGAAAGGGAAGTTCAGAAGGCTTCAGGGAGGTGGTGCCGTCAGCAGGCTTTCCAAGACAGAACCCAGAACCGGAATTCATGAGCAGAGAGGGGGCTGGGAAAGACATTCCAGCATGGTGCAGAGGATCAGGAATGCATGAGGCTGACTGGCCTCAAAGCCATGTGACACCATGGGCCGAGGCAGGAAACTGGACTGGTCGGGCAAGAAGGCGCCAGAACGCAGGACAACACACAGGAGACAGAGCCTGGCTGCATCCTGTCGGGATGGGAAGGCCCTGAGGAGCTCAGGGACAGAGAATTGACCAGGCTTCATTTGTGTCAGAGTCACTGCTCAAGCGGAGGGACAGGGTAGGTCAGTGACAAAATCCAAGCATGAAATAAGGCCTGTGCCAGGCTGAGCAGATGGCTCTGAAACCTCTCCTTCCCCTGGAGAGGCCCAGCCCCTCTTCCCAGCCAGGCTCCATAGATTTACCCATGGTTCTTAGAGGTTTTAGCAAATGATGCTTGAGAATACAAAAAACAAGCTGGGTGTGGTGGCACACACCCGTGATCCCAGCACTTAGGAGGCTGAGGCAGGAGGATCACAAGTTCAAGCCTAGCCGAGGATACATAACAAGACCCTGTTTCAAAAAGCAAAGAAAACAGAGTACATGCAAGAGAGGAAACAGAGGCACTGAGGCACTGTGAAGAAAACGCAATGTCCCTGCTGGTTAGGAACGTATTATTTTCTCCTTAAGAAACGAACTAAAATAGGCCAGTGACTTGAACTCTGGTAAGATAAGAAGGGCCCGCGGGTGACCAATCCGAGGTGAGCTTCATTGTCTCTCTGCCCTACTTCCTACTCACCAAGCCCTGCCACCAGTTCAAAGCCTGATCCTGACACAGAACAGTGTTGCTCTCTCCACTTTCATCCCACAGGGGAGCCGGGCACCCCACCACTGGTCGCTCCTTGGCGGGGGATGTAACAGCAGCACACATCCAGGACACACAGGCTGTCCCGCAGAATCCAGCACCGCCCTCTCGGGTCCCCTGTGCATGAGCCGTGTGGCCCCCCTCACCAGCCGGGTCCTCACGCTGACTTGAGGCACCTTCCCCTGTGCACCTCCATGGTGCTGCGGGAGGACTGACCCGAGAGGCATCGGTGCCAACAAGCCGGGTGACCCTGAATGGGCCACCTGATCTCCTAAGCTCACCCACGCAACCTCCTCCTCTGTAAGCAGAGATGGTAACCATAATTCTACCTCGAGAGTATGCAATGAGGTAGGAGATAAATGCTGAGAGCCTACTGTGCACTGGGCCTGGGATGCATCCAAGACAGCAAAAAATAAAAAATACCTAACAATTAACAAATGCTAAGCTAAGGGCTTGCACTTACATTTATTTTAAACTTATGAAGCAAAAGGGAGAAGGAGGAAACGGAGAGAGAGAAGCAGAAAGAAAAGAGGAAAGGGAAGGAGTGGAAGAAACGCTGGAATCAATCTAGAGTGTGAAACTTCAGTCGTCTATGTGCTGGCTGGGTGGCCTTGGGAAAATTACTTAACCGCTCTGACCCACCATTTCCTCCTCTGTAAAACAGGGACACAACTGCCTACCTAGCAGGGGGATCCTATAAAGAAAACAGCTAAGAGCTGGAAACTGCAGCTACCGTTTTCTAAGCCTTGAGTGGTACTTGGAGAAAAACTGGTTTATGGTTGCTTGGTTTTTGTGTTTTTCCAGTGATGGGGCTGAACCCAAGGCCTTTGCACTAAGCTACTCCCCAACCCCTTTTTTCTTTTGGTACCGGGGATCAAACTCGGGACCTTGCGCTTGTGAGGCAGGCAGCGGACCCACTGAGCTAAATTCCCGGCCTCCTTTTTGACTTTTTAATTTTGAGACAGGGTCTCACAAAATCGCTAAGTTGCCTATGATGGCTTCAAGCTTTGATGCTCCTGCCTCAGCCTCCCGGAGCCGCTGGGATCCCAGTTGTACACCACCACGCCTGGCTTGGTTTATGTTCTAATCTCTGCATCGCCCAGCTTGGCTACCCAAGAGGGGCCTATGTATAGGGAGCCAGGCACCTGCCATAGCTCCCCCAGGAACACTGCTCCCCTTCATCCTGTCCCAAGGAGGCCGCGAGCTCCCGCCACCAGCTGCGTGCTCTTGGATAAAGGAGATGGGACAGCCAGGCTCCTGTCTCGCTGGTCTCAAGCGGCTCGCCTCCACACCCACAGGAGCACAGGGCGATGGTCTCTGTTGCCAAGGAGCCCCTGAAACCCTGTCCCTGGCATTTGAGGATCCCTGAAAAAAGCCGAGTTATTTTAAGCCTCTCCTGAGCAAACAAATAGCTTCGGGACGGGGCCCAGAAGGTTCCTAAGAGCCTCTCATTCTGCCAGAAACACACTTAACACGTAAAACATCCACAGCTCACCACCTCTGCTGGGTTCGCTTTGTGCTAGGCTCCGGTTCAGAAGACAAAGCACAACCCTGAAGCCCAGATCAATGGATCCCAGCCCTCGCCACCCGTCCCCTCCACCCCATCCTGGCGCTGCCGGGCCGGGCCTCGAAGGACCAGAGAGGAACAAGAGAGCCGCCTTCCTGCCAGCAGCCTCTGATCGGGCCAGACGGAGGCTGCTGCTGAAATTGGCTTCTTTTTTTAACCAGGAACGGGGCAGGGAAGCCAGCCAAGGAGCAGGTTGGCCCACGGTCTCCTCTCTGCCAAGCAGCCACGGAAAAAGCCACAGAAAAAGCCAAGGTCGTTCAGGTGAGAGGGAGGTGAGGGGCAGAGGGGAGCAAGGTCACTGGGGGTCGTGCAAGACCCCTGGACACATCCCAGAGCTGGGCCTGTGGCCTCAGCAGCCCGTAGCCCCTAGGAGTAGTTTCCATGTCACCACCTGGGGCCCCGACATGGGGCCAGGTGACAGGGCCCAAAGCCCACACCACCCCCTGCCGTCTGCTGCAGCCCCCCGCCAGTCCCCAGCTCACTTCTGCTGGGCAGCTGCTCAGGCCCAAGGCTGTTGGAGGAAGCCGCTGGGGCGCTGCAACCTTCATCCATGGTCAGGATGAGGGGCACATCGTCATCCAGATTCACAGCCATGCTCCCCTCTGCTGCGGTCCTCAGGATGCGATGTCCAAGGCTCTAAACAGTCTCTGGCTGGAGCTCCTTGTCAAAGCCACTGGCCCAGTGCTGCTTCTCAGAAACTCCTCCATTAGAGGCATCTTCTAGGGTTGGGAGCATGAAAAACAAAAGACAATTATTCAAGCATAACCACCATGGACAAGTACATTCTGGAATTAGGCAGTGGTGATGGCTACACAGTCCTGCAAACATACTACAAACCATTGAATATATGCTTTTAAATGGTGACTCTTCCCATGTGTGAACTAGATCTCTCTTTAGAAAGAATGATAACAAGCTGGGCATGGTGTCACACATCTGTCATGGAAGTTCTCTGGGAGGCTGAAGCAAGGGGATCGCAAGTTCATGCTCCATTTGGGCAACTTAGTGTCTTAGGACCCTGTCTCAAAGAAAAAATAAAAAGGGGCTTGGGATGTAGCTCAAAGCGAGGGCCCTGTGTTCACTCCCCATTGCTCCTCAGCCTCTTGGCTAAAGTTGAGTGTCCAGGTTCAATCCTCAGTAGCACAAAATGTAAAAAAAAAAAAGTGCTAAGAGTATAACAGTGTTAAAATATCAGGGCAACTGCAAGAACAAACACTGAAAACTTAGGGTAACTGTGTCTGGCGAACGAGATTAGAGGTAACATGTTCTATCTCCACCCTTCTTTTATACTTATCTGTGAGCTCTGCAAAGCTATTAAAGAAAAGCATATGTGACGGTCAAAGTAACAGTGCTTGCTACATCTCAGGGACTCTACTACTGATTGTTTTTCCTACTTGAAATTTATAAGTAAAAGTTCATTAAAGTCTCATAATAGCCCTATAGAATAGACAGGATTATCGCCTCCATTACAGAGGAAAAAGCCAGGCACAGAGAGGTTTAGTAATTTGCCAAAGAACAAACAGCTGGAAAGCCAAGCTTTGAAACTCACAATCTGGCATCGGGCCCGTGTTTCTGCTCATCACAGCTCCTCTAAGTCCCCAACATCTGCATTTAAGCAGCGCCCACCTTCAATGACCACTAAGAAGCTAACACCCCATATTTTCTCTGCTTCCCTACTCTTTTTAAAAAACAACTTTCACTTTAGCTTTACTAAACAATCTCTGAGGACCACACATAAACTCTCCAGATCATCCTGCACTTGGCTGGTAATGGCAGATATTCTTATGCAGGCACTGTTCTCCTAGCTTTAGGTGCCTGAGGAGGGAAGGAGACAAAAATATATATATTTTAAAATAATGCCCAAGTGCTCATGTGTACCTCCCAATTTAAAATACTCAGAACTAGCCTGTTAGGGTTTCTATTTATACCTTCCCGTTTCCGCCTAAGAGGAGCAAAAGAAATGACGAGACTCAGCAGATCCCCTGCAGACCTTTGAACTTGAAAACAGCAGCAGGTTCCTTCCTTCAGCTACGGTCTCTGTGCTCTACCAACTTCACCTCCAAACTGACCTGCAGATCATCGGGTAACCTCTGTGCACCGACGGAGAATGGCACATATTTTTAAAAATAAGGCAGCAGCAATTAAACACTGTGTTGCTTGCTGTTTAGCCTGTAGCTCTCTGCCCGGCGAACTTCCTGTGAGAAGTTTTTAAAGTTTCCTCCAGATCCGAGGATTTATTTTGCTTTTCAATCCCAGTAGGGGGTAAGGCAGAAGAGGAAATCCCAGATGAGACACTACCATGAAGCTGTCCTAATATTTTTTGGTTTTGTTCTTCGGAGTGACCTTTTTTATCTTTTCAGTGCTGGAAATGGAACCCAAGGCCTTCCACTCACTAAACAGAGGAGCTGCCTCCCCAGCCCAGGCCTTAACTTTTTACTCCGACATTTTCAAACATTAGAGTAGAAAGAATATCCAAGTGAACTTGCATCCATTACTCAGCTTTGACACTGATCTCTCCCATATTTGTTTGAAGTTTTACCAATCCTCTTGACTCCGAAGACGTTTCTAGATTCCGTCATTATTCCCATAATAGCTGGTGGTAGTACAGATGACAGCTTGCTCGTAAGCAATGTATGAGCTCAGTGGCTCTCAGTCAAGGCACTGTCTGGAGACATTTTGGTTGTCACAGATCGGGGTAACAGGTGAGACCTGCATTCACCACAAAGGATGTGGCTCAAAACGCCAATAGTCCTGTTGTTGATGAATCCTATCTCAGTTAATATCCCCCACCTTACAGAGGACAGAACTGAGGCTTAGTGGTTAACTTGTCTCTTGTAAGTAAATTGCAAGGTAGAGAGGCCAGATTTCAACCCAGGCAGGCTGAATTCAGGGACTGTCCCTGCTTGACCATTACCCAATAACTACTCCCTGAACCAGTTCCCCAATTTGAATCCAAATCCATCTTTTCACAGAAAGAAAAATGAGGCCCAGAGAGGTGAAGGGACTTGCCCAAGGTCACATGGCACAGGCGCAGAACTAGAATTCAGGGCTCCTTCTGCAGGCTCTACATCTTCCTCTCTGGAGGACCCAGAAGGTCACCCCTGGAGAAAGGTCCCAGGGACAGAGCGCTGGCTGCCACCGCACCGCCTGCTGGGGCAGCCTGACCTGGGCAGTCTCCTTTGGGGTCAGCTGAGGATGCTGACGAGGTGACAGGGCGAGAGAGGCAGGCTGAGGCAGGAGTGCCGCCCCGCTGCACGCGCTCCTCGTCCTCCCGGGGCCCCACGTAGGGGTCGCCCAAGAAGCCAGAAGCGGGAAAAGGCGTGCACACCCCCGGCCCGGTCTGGAGGGAGAAAAGCAGGGCAAGGACTTCCTCGAGACCCCTCTAAGTCCCCCCTGCCCGCCTCCCACACCCGGGTGCTCAGCCGCAACCCCCTTCTCCGCGCCCTCTGAACCCTGGCCCCTGCCCTCTCCTTCGGACCAGCCCCTCGCACCCTTCGGATTCTTACACGCGCCGCCCCAGGAACCCGGACCGCGCACCGGGGTCCGCACTCCACAGCACAGCCCGCTGGCGCCACTGCCAAAGCCCCGAGCCCGGAGCTGTTGCAGCCACTACAGTCACAGACACTTCAGTCGCTGCCACCACGACAGCTGCGCCAGCTCTCCAGTCCGCCACCTCCCCTCCCCGCCGGCCCCGCCCCACTTCCCCTCCGCCCCGGCCCATTGGACCCCTGGGCTGCTATGATGAGGCCTGATTGGTTAATCCCCACATCTTTCTCTATTTCTCGCCCATTGCTGATTGCAGGACTCATTGCCCGCCTCTTTAAAAGGGGGCAGGACAAAGAAGGTCCACCTCTTCCCTCCTTCCCATCCCCTGCTTTAGTCGTTGAGTCCAACCCAGACAGAGTCTCGGGTCTTTCAATTGGAAGGATGTCAGAGGGACGGTGCTTCTGATTGGTCAGAATTCAGGAGGTGGAGCTAACAGAGCAAAATAAGGGATTGAATGGTGAAAAGGAAAGTCAGTCAGACGCCAAGTCCCGCCTTCTGAGATTGGCGGGTAACCTAGCAACGCAAGACCGAGAAACCTCTGTCGGGGAGAGATACTCGAGCCTTCAGAGGAGGTGAGTAACAGGTGGGAAAGGGTTGAGGGTGAGGGAAATATAGATCGAGGTCTAGCCCACGCTTCCTGGGCTCCACAAAACTCAGTAGCCCCCACCCTGTTTAGGATCTTGCTCTCAAGCCCTGCCCCAGTCTGCCCTCCCACTCCGCAAGGCATCATCCTCTTTAGGGTCCCTGCCCCTACTTTGCCCTCTCCGCCTGACCATTCCCTGGCCCCCTCTTCTCTAAAACGAGGATGAGCCCGGCGCCGCCGTGACACACTCCTGGAATCCCAGCACTCTGGTAGGCTGAGGCAGGAGAATCGCAAGTTGGAGCCCAGCCTGGGCAATTTAGCGAGATTCTGTGTCAAAATTTAAAAAAAAAAAAAAATGTAGCTCAGTGTAAAAGGCCCTGATTCAATCCCTAATACCACAATAAATAAATAAATAAATAAATAAATAGCTGGGATACCAGTCAAGTAGAGACATCATTAATTTATTTGCAGTCAAATATAGATGGTGAGGGTGAGAGAGTCGTTTCTAAGTAGCCCACTTTCCTGCCCAAGGTGAGCACTCAACAGAAAGTACTAGAGTAAGTGCTTAAATTATTTTGATTATATGATTTTTGTCTTTCATATTAACTCTGGAGTTTAACTCCCATTTCTGTCCTTAAAATATGATCTTGTTGTCTTTTTTCTTTCTTTCTTTCTTTCTTTCTTTCTTTCTTTCTTTCTTTCTTTGTTTCTTTTTGAGACAGGGTCTTGCTGTGTAGTTTAGACTGGCCTTAAACTCACTATGTAGTCCAGGCTGTCCTTGAACTTGCAGCGTCCTGCCTCAGCCTCCCAAGTGCTAGGATTACAGGTGTGTGCCACCACGCCCAGCTTCATTGTCTACTTTTTTTTTTCTTTTGGCCAGTTGATCATTGTCTGCTCTTAAAGAGTTTCTTACAAGGAGGATTACAAGAGGCAAGGCTGTGAAGTGGTTGGCACAGGAGCAGTGCTGTACAAACAGTGCTCAGAAAGTAGTGGCAACTTTGTTTTCCCTAAAACACATCCAACCTTGACTCATCCTGCTTAATACAGCTCCAAGGAGATGCCCTTGGTCCACATATTAAATATTCATATATTCAGCGATATTTACACAGTGCTCATTAAGGATGGTTGGGGGGAGCAATCAATAAAGGAAACCTCATCACTCACATCATGGAGCCTGAGACTGGAGGAGCCACTAATGAAATAGTGTAGTACAGATGGGTGTAAAATCACACCGTGGAGATCCACTTCCAGAATGATGGCACGAGAAGCTGGATAGATCCTGTTCCGGTTTAGATCTAAGGCGTCCCCCAGATCTCTTGTGTTTGGAAGGTGAATGCGTCATGAGGGACCAATTTGAAGGTGTCACTGGGGCAATGGCCTGGCTGAAGGGAGTGCATCATGGGAGTGTGACCTTGGGGACTGTATCTTGTCCCTGGCCCCTTCTTCTCTTGTTCCTTCCCCTTCTTTCTGCTTCCTGGCTGCCATGAGGTGAGCAGCTGTGCTCCACATCTGACCACCATGAGTCGTGCCTCCAGCCAATGGATCCAGCAAACCATGGTCTGAAATGTCTGAAACTGTGAGCCAAAATAAATCTTTCCTTCAAGTTTTTTTTCTCAGGTATTTGGTCATAGCAATAGAATCCCCTCCTAACAAATCCCTAACAAATCCCCTTCTCAAAATGCAACTGCTGTCCATTGATGGATGAGTGGATAAACAAAATGTAGTCACTATCCATACAGTGGAATATTATTCAGCCATAAAAATGAATGAAATTCTAGCCAGGCATGATAGCGCACGCCTGTAATCCCAGCACTGGAGAAGGCGTGATGATGGCTGAGGCAGGAGGATCAGTGTGAGTTTGAGGCCAGCCTGGGGTACTGTATAGTGAGTTCAAGGCCAGTCTGAACTACACAGCAAGACCCATATCAAAAAAAAAAAAAAAAAAAAGGAAAGAAAGAAATTTTGACATCTGCTACAACATGAATGATCCTTGAAGGCATTATGAAAATAACAGGCACAAAATGAAAAATATTGTCTAGTATGAAGTATCTATAGCATTCCAACTCATAGAGACAAAAACTAGAATGTTGGCTACCAGGTCCCATGGGAAGGAGGAATGAATGAGGAATTTTTGCTTAATGAGTACAGAGTTTCAGTTTGGGGTGATGAAAACATTCTGGGGATGGATAGTAGTGATAGTTGCACATAAACGTAATATTCTTAATGCTACTGAAGCGTATTCCTAAAAACAGTTAAAATAGTGTCTTAGTTACTTTCTCATTGCTGAGACAAAATATCTGACACTCAGAAGTAAAGGAGGAAAGATTTATTTTAGCTCACAGTTTGTAGAGGTTTCAGTCCATAGTCGGCTGGCTCCAAGACAGGGTGGCATCACAGAGGAGAAACACTTCATGGCAGGCAGAAGGCAGCAAAGTGAAGCAGCAGCAGCCAACCTCCCTTTCCCTTTTATTCCTACCCACCCACACCCAGCGTGGGCTTTCCCACTATCCACAACTAGAGCTATGCCAAACCAATCAGCGGACTAATCACACCCTTAATCCCAGCACCACATACCCTGTATTCAGCCAGCTCTGAAAACCCCCACCTGTGAGTGCATGAGGCTTTTGAGGGGACATCTAGCTAGAAGCCATAACAAATGGTAAACTTTATGTTATGTTTACCACAATAAAATAAAAAAACAACTGGAAAGCTAATGAAACTGTCCAGTGCTATTTCAGCATTCTGAAAACCAACCAAGGCAAACAACCAACTGAGAGCATTGATTCATGGCCACTCCTGAAGCTGGCGGCTGTGGTGTGCTCACCTGGGGCTTCTTGCATTGCCCAGGCCCTGTTGAGCACCATAGTTCAGCCAGGTGGGCACCCCATGACAACCAGCGGCCTCACTGCCACTGCAGAAGGGAATCACTTGATCTGGAGCATTGGCTCCAAAAAGAACAAAAGAAAAGAAAGAAAAGGACCTGACCATTGACTACATTTGCCAGCAGAGGACGGAGGCCATACAGGGTCCAAGCGTTTAAGCACAACTTCTGGTTGATTTCTGGCAGAACCTGAAGCTATGAGATACAGGAATGAGCCCTAGGAAGTCAGATTTTATAATATAAAAAAGAAAAAAAAATTAAATAGAGTCACACATTGTAGAAGAGACAGACTGGACAGATTTAGTCCAAGAAGTTATTTACCAAACACACAACCAAAGGAAGAACAACTATCATTAGGAAGAAAAGCTCAGAATGCAGAATACAATTTTTTTATCTAAAATTCCAGCACGTAACAAAAAATTGTGAAAGGTGCAAAGAAACAAGAAAGTGTAACTATACACAGGAAAAGAAAAAGCAGTGAATAGGAACTGTCTGTATCTTCCCAGATGTTGGATTCAGCACATAAAGGCTTCAAAGCAGCTATTGTAAATAGGTTTAAGGAACTAGAGAAAGCGTGTTGAAAGAATTAGAAGAAGCTATGATAACAATGACTCATCCTATAGAAAGTAACATATTTTTCTCATTTTGTCTCTTCATTAAAAAAATATAAGATTGGGCCGGGGATTTGGCCCAGCGGCACCGCACCTGCCTTGCAAGTGCAAGGTCCTGAGTTTGATCCCTGGTACCAAATAAATAAAAATAACAAGATTGGGGGGCCAGGGATTTAGCTCAGTGGTTCTGCCACCTGCCCTGCGAGCGTAAGGACCCGAGTTCGATCCCTGGTACCAAAAAAAAAAAAAAAAAAGACTGGGATTGGGATGTAGCTTAGTGGTTAGAGCCCTTCCCTGGCATTCATGAGGCCCTGGGTTCCATCCCCAGAACTGAAAAAAAGATAAGATGATATAAAGCAATGTATTTTATAAGCCAAACAATGACACTATTGTTTGGCTTGTAAAATATTAATGTAGCAGCCAGGGATATAGCTCAGTGGCACCATGCCTGCCTTGCAAGTGCAAGGTCCTCAGTTCGATCCCCGGTACCAAGAAAATCAATGTAGGTGGGCAAGGTGGTACATACCTGTAATTCCAGCACGTGAGAAGCTGAGACAGGAGGATCATCTTGAGTTCAAGGCAAGCATGGATGACATAGAGTCCAGGGATCAGCAAACTATAACTCAAAGGCCATATCTGACTTATCTCCTGTTTCTGTAAATAAAATGTTCTCAGAACACATGCATGCCAATTTACCACACACACACACACACACACACACACACACTGGGTATTCAGCTAAGGGCCTTTGCACTGAGCTACATCCCCAGCCCCCTTTTTAATTTATTTTTTAAAATTTGGATTCTCCCTAAGTGGCTAAATTGCCCACTGTAGGCTCAAACTTCAATTCTTTTTTTTTTTTGTACTGGGGATGGAACTTGGGACCTTGCACTTGCGAGACAGGCACTGGAACAACTGAGCTAAATCCCCAGCCCTCAAACTTCAATTCTTCTGCCCCAGCCCCCCAGAGTGCTAGGATTACAGATGTGCCTTACATATTATTAATGACTGCATTTGTGCTACAACAGCAGAGTTGAGCAGTTGTGAAGAAACAATATAGCCGTAAAGCCAAATATATTTACTATTTGGCCTATATAGAAAAAAATTTGCCAAGTCCTGCTACAGAAAACATCCCTCAAGAAAATAGATGCAAAATATTGCCGTACCAAATTCAGCACATACAAAAAGGATTGTACACCGTGACCAAGGGAGATTTATTCCAGAAATGCAAGATTGGTTAAACATCTGAAAAACAATGTAATATGCCAATTAATAGAAGCAAGAACGCATAGAAACTGGCACTCTTGTGCGTTGCTGGAGGGAACATAAAATGGTCTGACCCATTGGAATGATGGTTTGGCAGTTTCTGAAAAAGTTAAACATACACTCACTAGCAGTTCCTCTCCTAAGAATTGACTCAAGAAAAATGCAAATGTGTGTCCACACAAAGACTTATATGTGGGGCTGGGGATGTAGCTCAGCGGCACCTTGCCTGCC